GCTCAGGTTTCAGCTGCTGCGCTGGTGAGCTTTCCCGTAGAGCGGGCTGCAGAGCCCTCTGGTGGCAGATCTGTCACTCCTGCTAGAAATCCTACTCTGTGGAGTCCCAGCATGGAGCTGAGACTCCTCCATAATGGCTTTTCTCAGGAAAAGCCATGAACGTAAGTCCCATTGGGTGATGGCTCTTTTTGTAGCGAAAGGTTCCTTCCTAAATGATCGAGAATCTGCAGGAGGAAGCTCAAAGACCAGGGCCTTTGGTGTTAAAAATAAAGCAAGACAACAGAGGAGTGGCCTGAAAACTGTAGACAAAACCGACAGCACCCCGCTGACTCTAGCGCACGTGGAATGTTGCACCATTTCCCCTGTTTCGGTGAACTTCGGACTGCTGCCTCACTGTGTGCTCAGCCCTGCCCTCTACTCCACTGGCTGGCAAGGGGGTTTCCTTCAACCAGGCAGAGCTGTCATAGGCCACCCAGGGCCAGTCTGTGCTAAGGTTCCCCAGAAGGCCAGCTGGAGTGGATTAGCTCAGCCCAGTCTCTGCGACCTGCTCCTGCTTCTCACTGCTAGAATAAATTCATCTCCAGCAACCAGCAGTTGGCGTGATAGCTATGTTGCTGAACTCCCACATAGTCGACCGTGGTTCGAGTCCCAGATCCAGTGGCTTAAACTCACACAGGGTGTGTGTGCATGCTTGCCCAAGATCCCGAGAGGAGAATGGAAGAGAAGGGATTCTGGCATGGCCATCCCCCTTGGGGGGTGATTTCTCACTTTCTGTCTCTCTCTGTCTTTCTGGTGAGCGCACACACCCTATAGCAAAAACCTCTCCAAAAACAATAAATACATAAATAAACAAATTCATCTCCAGAGGCAAAAGTGGCTGTAACACCCATTAGGGATTCTCTACCTCTGGCTTGTGTTTGGAGAGCTTCTCTCCTACCCAGAGACCCCTCTCTCACTTAAGCAGGAAAGTCACGATCAAACTGCAAAGTCGTCTGGCACCGCTGGGAACACGGACTGCCGTGCCTATCTGCCTGGTGGTGTCCCCGTTATCCCGCTACCTGCTGGGAACAGCTGGAGCACGGAGGTGCTGGTGATCAGAACTGGGAGGGGAAGGGTGGAGGAAATTTGGGGGGAGGATAGAGAGGGAAGACACTCGTGGGAAAGAGACAGAGACTAGCAGGCCTCTCGGCCGCCTTCATCGCTGTCCCTGCCTCTGTTGATCTCCTGTTCTGGGGACACCCTCCAACTCTCCTCTGGCTTTTAGCAAGGGAAGTCATGCAGGAGAAGCGATAACCAAGGAAACAGGGGAATTGTCCATGAGGCAGCTCGGGAAAGACAACGCAAACACACACACACACACACACCACACACACACACATACACTCTCAATCACTTCTGCTTAGTTTACTGAGCTCGGAATGTACCCCAAGGTGACCCACGGGCTCAGGTTTCAGCTCCAGCGCTGGTGAGCTTTCCCGTAGAGCGGGCTGCAGAGCCCTCTGGTGGCAGATCTGTCACTCCTGCTAGAAATCCTACTCTGTGGAGTCCCAGCATGGAGCTGAGACTCCTCCATAATGGCTTTTCTCAGGAAAAGCCATGAACATAAGTCCCATTGGGTGATGGCTCTTTTTGCAGCGAAAGGTTCCTTCCTAAATGATCGAGAATCTGCAGGAGGAAGCTCAAAGACCAGGGCCTTTGGTGTTAAAAATAAAGCAAGACAACAGAGGAGTGGCCTGAAAACTGTAGACAAAACCGACAGCACCCCGCTGACTCTAGCGCACGTGGAATGTTGCACCATTTCCCCTGTTTCGGTGAACTTCGGACTGCTGCCTCACTGTGTGCTCAGCCCTGCCCTCTACTCCACTGGCTGGCAAGGGGGTTTCCTTCAACCAGGCAGAGCTGTCATAGGCCACCCAGGGCCAGTCTGTGCTAAGGTTCCCCAGAAGGCCAGCTGGAGTGGATTAGCTCAGCCCAGTCTCTGCGACCTGCTCCTGCTTCTCACTGCTAGAATAAATTCATCTCCAGCAACCAGCAGTTGGCGTGATAGCTATGTTGCTGAACTCCCACATAGTCGACCGTGGTTCGAGTCCCAGATCCAGTGGCTTAAACTCACACAGGGTGTGTGTGCATGCTTGCCCAAGATCCCGAGAGGAGAATGGAAGAGAAGGGATTCTGGCATGGCCATCCCCCTTGGGGGGTGATTTCTCACTTTCTGTCTCTCTCTGTCTTTCTGGTGAGCGCACACACCCTATAGCAAAAACCTCTCCAAAAACAATAAATACATAAATAAACAAATTCATCTCCAGAGGCAAAAGTGGCTGTAACACCCATTAGGGATTCTCTACCTCTGGCTTGTGTTTGGAGAGCTTCTCTCCTACCCAGAGACCCCTCTCTCACTTAAGCAGGAAAGTCACGATCAAACTGCAAAGTCGTCCGGCACCGCTGGGAACACGGACTGCCGTGCCTATCTGCCTGGTGGTGTCCCCGTTATCCCGCTACCTGCTGGGAACAGCTGGAGCACGGAGGTGCTGGTGATCAGAACTGGGAGGGGAAGGGTGGAGGAAATTTGGGGGGAGGATAGAGAGGGAAGACA